TTCTCACAAGCCCCAGTGGTATGAGACAGATCTTTCTCTGATGTATACATAGTTCAGTTTGAGCCTCAGCAGATATAACCCAGTGAGTGAAGGTGGGAAAAATGCTATCAAAGAAACCTTTAAATGTAGAAAAACTAGGCTAATGAGGAAGGGGTAAGCAGAGGTGGGCTTTTTATTTGAGTGAGGTAGCTAGTGGTAAAGGGGAAGAATGTGGGAGGGGAGATGAATATCATGTGAAAAAACTCAGAGGTTGTTCAGTACACCTGCCAAGCAACCCTGGTCCCAATCAGTGGGGTTTGGAACAGGGGAAGAAACCTGTTGCTGTCATAATCATACCTGTGTCCGACACCGTCATGATTGAGAGACCTGGTGTCTTTTCATTAAATTTGGTGAGGGAACACTCAGGGCACAGGAAAGGCATTCTGACTTCCGAGGGAAGAACTCTCTTTGGCTGGCATTTTGTGCTACCTGTGATGCTCTGGACTACAACATGAACAGGGCTAGTAGATACGCTTTAGGGGCTCCACAAGATTCAGGTTCTCTACAGTAGGTGCTGCAAGCCAAGCTGAACATACCAGAGCATCTCATGGAATTGTCCTTCTGAGTTTCAAAAATGGCTGAAATAGGAGTGTTTTAGGCTGTCAGAGTCATTGTCATGGTCTGGGTGATAGAACACAGGATGTACCATAGACCTTCAGGAGCAGCAGCTGGAGGCAAGATGGAATAGCCTGGGACATGTAAAAAGAGCCTAAATTCCCAGGAAACATTATTGCCTCCATATACTTTCTGAGCAATGAAGAGAAGTAAGCATGCTCAAGGCATTTTTAATCTGAAAGATAGGCTGCTTGGCATGTAGGGGTTCATGTCATAGAATTGGCAACAGGATGTCAGGAATGTCTGTATCTCCCCCTTTCGGTATCCCCGTGATGCCAAAGACAGCTTAGACCACTTGTCTAGAACTGGCAAAATTAATTCTGCTCTCCCTTCTGTTCAGCAGCTTTCAGTGGACTCTTGTCCCTTGGATTTGCTAATTTTGCTTTCTGTCATTCACAGCAGCTAAGGGAAATAACACAGAATAGCTTTCCTTTGTTGGGCATTCTGTACATTAAAGAACCCAGTATCCTGCTGGTATCAGCTCACTACCAGTCCTAACACATTGCATCGAGCCTCCTCATGCTCACCCTCAGGAGTTCCATCTGGTCCCAAGAAGGCTGCACACACAAGCAAGTTTGAACATGCTTTTATTGTGGCCAGAAAGCAAAGCAGGAGGTAGCACTGTTGTGCAGCTGTGGGCGGAGGGGCAGTGTGAAACTGTGTGTACTTGGGATCTGTGTTTTTACCTTGCCATGGAGACATTCCTTAGAGCAGAAGCCTGTGCATGTGCCATGAGAGCATCCCGGACTTCATGTCAGCTGCCGCTGGAAGTCTCTGAGCATCAGCAGATGTTTGATGTGTTGTAGAAATGGGGCGCTGAGCATTTTAGTCAGAGGAGGGAGAGTCAGGTAGGTCTTGGAGCGCAAACTTTCTCAGCTCTTTATGTATCCAGGGTCCAAAATACAGGACTCTAGTAAATACTTTAGGGAAGATGCAGCATGTGGGCCCATGAGAAACAATGCCGTGAGCCTTGCCATTGCAGACTAATGGGCCTCCAGAATCACCCTGTGAGGTAAAAGGAGTGGGAGGGGTCAGACATGTCAGAGCACAGCTCCCCCTGCCTGAGGGAGAAACTGGCCCTTCTGCCTCCCTCTGTGTGAAGAACCTCCTCTTTCAGCCATCTCCCTCCAGGCCCAGCTCCGTAGGGCTTGTAGCTGCCTGACTACTCCTCTAAGCCAATCTGTGAAGCAATTCAGACCTGGAGGCCATCTGAGATTGAAAAACTGCCTTCACACCCCTGAAAAGAAGAATCTAGTCCCATTGTGTCAGGAGTAAATGACAAAGGCTTTGCACGAGATCTGCAGCCTGCGGGAGCAGTGGCTAGGATGGATAGAATATTGCCGGCTGTGTGAAAAGGAACATGATGCTGACAGTTGGGGCAACTGCATGCTGGTTCAGTCAGCACGTCAGCTTCAGACCTCCTGTGAGGGTCCTCAGCACACCATCCTGAAGCATCTACTGCATTGTAGTCCCCTGCATGCCCCATCTGAAAACCCACCTGACTGTCTCGTCCCAACATCATCCCAAGCTTTGAGCCCAAATTAACACTTACCTCCCAAGTTGATTTTTTGCGATTGCCATCACCAACACAGAGCATAGACTGATGGACGTAGCTGCTTTTAAAATATTTCTCACACACTTTATTACTCTGCACCTTCAGGTCCACCTCCATCAGCACACGCACATTAGTCTCTTTCTGTGTCCGTGATGTCCTGCCCCAGCCAGCCACTTCACATGTAGTTCCTGGTCCCACACGCTCATTGTCACTGGGCAAAAGGATATAATTCACTTCCTTAGTGAGCTTGGCCTTTGGCTTCAGCTGCAAAGTAGAGAGAACACAGGATTTGAATGGGAGGTGGGGAAGTGAGCAGGGGGAGATCTCTCAGGCAGCAAGGATGTGGGGGGGTATACCTTCAGCAGCATTATGTCATTTTCATACGTTTTGTTTGAATACTTGGGATGGATGACCCAATGGTCAACATGGAATTTCTGCTGGCTCAGTTCCTCCTTACTTATGTTGTGAGCTCCCAGGGTCACGGTGATATTCACTTTCCTGCCGGGAAACACCAATATGTTCCAGCGACACTGACCACAGAGACACAGCCCCCATGGCAGGTGGTTAGAGGGAGGTGGTGGTGGGATGTGCCTCCCCAGAAATTAGTTCTCAGCAAGTTGCCCTCTGTAGGCTGGGTTCCTTCCACATTCAGCTGAGGGTCCTTACCCCATGCTGACATAGGGCTGAAGTGTCCCATTCTGAAGACAAAAGGGGAGGAGGGAATGAGAGACACCAGCCTCACTTCTCCAACAGCAGCTCTGACCCATGGGAAGAAGGATGGATCAGGAGACCTCTGCGGAGGAGTTCTGTTCCCAGGGGCTCACGGCCCCTGGCAGACAATTCCTGCAACTCACGGGGCACGGCTCAGCTCACAGAGAGCCCTGCTGTGCCCGAGGAGACACAGAGTATTCTGTCAGCACAGACCAGGACTGCGGCTCCTCGCGACTGTGTGAGACAAAACAATCACATGTACCAGTTAGACAGGGCCTTACATTTTTCCAGCCACACAGTGAGCTGCTGAGAGCACTGCATCTGGGCGAATCAGGAACCCTCCACACCGATACTTGCCTGACCCATTTCTAATTGATAAATGAGCCATGTAGGGCCTGGAGTGGGGCTTAGCTTCCCATCCGCCAATGATCCTTCCTGGAAGAGAGATGAGAAGTGTTAACATCACCCATGCCACTATTTCCCATCAAATTCGGAGCTGCATGAGGAGAGAGGGTCATCCTCTGGCATCATAGGCAGCGATGCCAATAACTCTCCTTCCCTGGGCTGTCCAAAGCATTGCTTATGCACAGTGGAGAGAAAAGCGCACAACACTTCCTGGGGATGGCTGACCACACCTGACCCTGGATGTGTGAACGCTGTCAAAGGGCACCACACCGGTACCTTTAATGCGTCACTGGTTTCAGGCAGTCTGAGCTGAGAGATATGAGTAGAGCAGAGAGTAGAGATATGAGAGAAGGCAAGGATTGCCTACTCAGTGCCCATTTCTGCCCTTGCATGTCCTTGCCTAAATCCCATCTCTCTGTACTCACCAGCCCCAGCCCATGGGAGAAGGAGAAAAGCACTTGCGAGCAGAAGGAGAAGCAGCATCTTCCACCAGTGCCCCGAAGAGCCAAGAGAGTCGTTATGGCCGGGCAGGAGACAGGTGCAGAATGACAATCCTTATATATGAAGTTTTGGCCTGAAACAGGAAACCTCAGCAGCTTGTGTCATCTGCTGCTTCTATTCCTGGAAACCCCAGATCGCGGTTTGGTGAGGGGTTCATGTCACATTCTCTGTTTTTTGTCATGATCTCCTCCAAAAGCTGGATAGCCCAAGGCTTGTACAGAGTACCCAGAGTGCTCAGTACCCAGGCAGCAGTGAGAGGAGTGGGATATCTCCTGTTGAGTGTGTATCTCATTGGAGACCCTTGGCAAGAGCCTCCTTGGATCCTCGATGTGGGTTGTTTTGGTTTGTGAGAGCTGAACAGGGTCAGGCAGAGGTCCTGGTTCTTGTCAGAGGGGCTGATGCCGTCAGAGGTGCCCTTGGGATATCAGAAGTCACCTGTCAGAGTAGCTAAGGCACACGACCTACTGGAGACTCACAGGCTCACACTAGTGTTCTAGATGATCAGACAAGTCCATGGTGATGAGGGAAGTCTGAGGACAATCTGGGAAGTCAGTCCATGGGCTCAGGTCCAGATCAGCAGGTTACATCGCCGGGCACAGGCACAGCGAGCTGGAGCTCAGGTCAGAGTCTCCTCTTCAAAGCGGATCCCATGTGCAGGGGCGCAGCCATGGCTGCGGCCTCTCTGAAGGCCCCCCTGGGGACACTGGCCCCAGTGTTACCAGGGGGAAGGGACACAGCCCTCAGTTGCCCTGGCTCTAAGTTGACCATGAGCCCAGGCAGTCAGACCTCCAGGATGGGGAATGCACTTCAGGCGGTGACACTGAGGATGGAGACTGGACAGCCTCTCTGCGCAACTGACTCCTTTGCTTCACTGTTCTCGTGGTGAAAATGTTTTTTCTTACACACAGCCTGAACCTCTTTTATTTCATTATTTAGTTATTAATGCCTACCTGTTATCTTCCTCTCTCATGCTCCCACCGTTTGCTGCTGAGAAAAGCCTGGTTCCATCTTCCTGTTGGTTGCTTGCAGGTATCAGAAAGCTGCTTTTAGGTCCTGCACAAGCCCTCCCCTTCTGTCTGAACAAGTCCAGGTCCCTCAACCTCTCCTCAGTGTAGACCCCTAAGGTACTGCGCTTCTTACAGGCCTCCAGGGAGAGTATGGCCTTTAAGCACCACCAGCACTCTCTCAGCCCAATCAGCCAACCTGTTTATACCCATCCAGTTGTCCACCCACTCAGATGGTAACATCCTAAGCTAGACAGAAGAATATCCTGGGAGACAGTGTCAAAAGCCTTGCTAAAGTCAGGGTAAATGACATCCACTGCTCTCCCCCATCCATAATGCCATAATTAGAGAAGGCAATCGTGTTGGTCAGGCCTGTTTTACCCTTGGTAAATGCTCATTAACTGTTCAATCTCCTTCTTCTCCGTCATATGCCCTAACGTGCATTATAAGAAGACTTGATCCAAGACTTTCCAGACTTCTTAGGAAATGTCTGCTTCTCCTGTTGGTAGCTTTCACTTCCACATTTTCATTCTTCCAGAGCCTGCCAGCATGACATCTAATCGGGGTTAATCTGTTTCCTGGAAACTTTTTAACCGTCCAGTTTCCATCCCACCGAGAGATAAAGCAGAAAGCAGCAAACCACTTTGGTTTCTGCGATGTGTGAGATTGTGTTATCAGATGAGCACAGACTCAAACTGAGGAGACATTCCAGAGAAGACCAAGCTGCAGCACTGAATGATAAGAAACACTTGAGCAAACTCATACCCTCTTCAGTATTCTGACATTTCCAGCAAAGTGCTGATGTTCTCAGCAATTCCTCTCTTGGCTGGTAACTCGAACAACTGTAAAGTAAGAGACTGTCTTCCCAAGCGGGAAGACATGCTGCAAGGCTTGTGACCTCTTGACTGGACCTGTGCAACCACACTACTGAGCACATGGGCTGGGGCATGTCCAGGCCCTGCACGGTGGTGCTGTTATAGAAGTATTGTGCACCCATGGTTGTTTTTTTTTTGTTGTTTTTTTTTTTGTTTTTGTTTTTTGTTTTTTTTCTGTTCAAAACATCGGAAGGGGCAGAGTGGACATGTTTGTGTTGCAGCTTACCAGGGCAGTGGTTCTGAAGGCAAACACCAAGCCTGTGTACTGCCCCTCTTGGGATGTGTCAGGAGGCACATGGGAGGTGATTGAGACCGCAGTACCTGCTCAGACACTCACAGAGGACTGAGACACAAACCTGAGCTGCTCCATTTGCACCAACTACCTGGAGGCATCCCTGGAACTGACTGCTCCAAGAATCACAGGGAAATCCCAGCTTGGAGGTACCAGGTTCAGTTGCTGTAAAGCACAGGCGAGCATGCACCCATGCTTTGTGGGTGCTCAGAGGACAGAACCTGGGCATGAAGTGGAAGTTAACTTTCATGAAAATGAAGACAAATCCTCTCCCCTTTGCCATGAATGGAGTAAAGCGTACCAGAGGTAGATGGTGTTTAAAAGACTGAACTTCAGCAAGGTGAATCCCGCCACATCCTTCCACCGCTGCAAATGAAATGAAAGGCAAGTGCTCACTGGAAGTGCTGACTGAGGAGACACCTTCGAAGCACTGCAGCTTCCTCCCCTGGCTGTGATCGGAAGGGAAAGTCTCACTCCTAATGCCTGAGTGGTGGAGCAGTCAGTAGCTTTGGCAGAGGGCTGAGAGAGGCTGAGAAGACAGAGCTCTGAATGGGATTCCTGGTCCTGCTTCTCTTGGGCCAGTAGCCCTCCTGGCTTTTCACATACCGTGTAACCCTCTCCTGGCTGCAGCACAGTGCCCTTTGGTCATTGAAATGCTGCTAGTTTGTTCACAATTCTAAATTGTCCAGGCCTCTGCCTTTCCAGGGACTGCAAGGGGTCTGGCTCCCCTACTCAGGCAGAGGATGTGCATCCAGTTGTGCCCACCACAAACCCTTCACTGGAACACTGAATTCAGACTTCAAAGTCGCAGAGCTGCAGCGATACCTTCATTTAAGGAAATCACAGGAGCCAGAACATTAGGACACGGTTCAACTCCCATTCCTTCTACAATGTGAGAGCGTGGCCAGGTGGCCTCCCAGGTTTCCACACCACACTAACTGGTAGGATTGGGGCTACATGAAGGAGAGAGAAGGGTCCCTCCACTCTGTCTCTGTGCTTGGCTTTGCACTCTGTCTTTCAGCAGCAACACGATCGGTGGCTAAGCTGAGAAGCCAGCCCTGACCTGTGGTTTGTCTCATATGACTTTCTCTTTAATTTTGGGCCCTTGAAGGCTGAGCAACTTTACTGCCTGCAGGCTGAAGGGACCTGCTATGGGATGCCAGGAGCAGCATTTTGGGGTTGTCAAAAGATACTATGGGAGGTGTAAAGCAAGGGTCAAAGGTGGGGAAAGGGATGGGACTACGATAGTCTAAATAGAAGCATTTGTGGGAAAGGGGGATAAAAGGAGCTGGTTGTGTATAAACAGGTGGCTGTCAGTGCAATTATCTGGCCATGTCTTCTCATGAAACTCCATCTCTAATTATTTTAATAATTAGTTTTCTAAGCCCCAAGCTCATGAGAACAGGAACTGTCCTTCTGTCGTAGCGCTGTGGGAACTGACAGATCACATATACGTGCTGCATGAGACTTGTTTCCACCCCTCCCTTCCCCATCACTAGACCACAAGTCTTATTCAGACAGGCACCTTCTTTACCTCAGACATATTTACTTTGCCTTAAAGAATGCCAGTGTCTTCCTTTCATCATTCGCAATGATTTCCACGGCTTTTCACACTCCTGTGGTGTTTGAACCCAAAGTGAGAGATTGCGCTCTATGTTGATTTTGAAGTTTTTATGTTTTCTGCCTGGATGTGAAAACAAGAAGGCACAAATTCAGTGTGAGTCTTGAAGCACAATCATTCCTACAGGGCACAAGGAGAAGAACATGCTGATTCAATCTCTACAACGAAAAGAAGGCCAAAGGAATAGAAAAGATATGGAAAAGCTGGATCACCTGAAGAAGGTGGAAAAAAATGCCTTTTCCTCTAATTCTGGGCTTGTGCCACTTTCTACAACCTACAGCTCCTTCTGGGAAAGACACAAGGGTTGTTTGAGAACTTAATTTCTTGGTCACAAAATGTAAAACCTGAGAACTCCTCCAGACACAAGTTAGCATGAGAATAGAAATACCTGCCTTATCTTGAAGATAAAGCCTAACCTTGTCAACTGGTCATGGGTCTTTCACAGGAAGCTGCTTAGTTCGTCAGTGCCTTTTTATCATTGCCTGGCTGCGGCAGGGTGAGATTTAATTATTGGAACCCTACAAGAAGACCTGACTGCTCAGAGGTGGAAGATCGGTTAAAGCTTGGTTAAAGATTAAAGTCTTGTCTGAGTGGCAGCAATGAAAGTGGGGACCATGAATCCCAGGCCCCCTGTGGCTGATGTGCCAGGAACTGGAGAGGCCAGCCAGCCAGCCTGAGTAAGGTAAGAGACTTGTAAACCGGGTATTGAAGTGGTCATAAGTCTGGGCTGGGGACCAGACATACCCAGAGTTCAAGAGCTGGCTACTGGAGGGACCAGCAGGACCAAGCCAACCGCTGCAGAGACCACGAGGTCTGGCCATCACCTGAGAGACCTGTTTGTGTGTGTGCGACAGTGTGTGTGAGACAAGTGGAGATGAGAGGATCCAAGAGCCATCTGCTGTCTATGCTGACTGTCTAAGGCTGGTTACTGGGGGGACACATCACACACGAATGTCTGTCGATGTGTCTGTCTGTGCAAGTGGGTCTGTGTCCCAGCAGCTGGCATGGGGTTGGGGGCCTCAGGGACTTGCCTGCACAGATGCCAGCAACTGGGAGACCTGGGATCCAGGGTGGCTCCTGGGTCGACAGAGCGTCTAAGGCTGAGTGTCTTAGTGTTACTGGGGAACCCTGTGCCTAGGCGTGGGTGCTGGTGTGCGTGCAGGGTGTTTCTATCTATCTGCCTTCATCCA